GTTAGCAAACCTGCCTGGGGAGCGTGCCTTTGATATGCAAACCAACCAATCCGAAGCCATACCAATCCTCCCACCACCTTCTTTATCCTCATGCACAAGCGGATATTCCCCTGTCCTACATCACCCCGGGGCCAGGGCCCAGACAACTAGAGACCACCACAATTACTCAAAATGTCTTTTCCTAAACTTTTTCAAATTTGCCTACCCTTCTCCTCCCTTTCTCCCTACAGAAAGCACAACAAGGGTTCTGGGCCGTGTTCACCCCTCGCCCCTTCTGCCTCGGGACTGACCCTGCTACTTCCCCATGTGGCTCTGCGTGGCATGCTGGGCTCCCTCTTGGGAATTACAAGCTATGAATTTTTTTCAAAGGCACTTGTCTCCATGTCTATTATTGTACCATACCTGGTTAAATCCCAGGCACATTTCCAGACAATCTCACCTCCCTCGTCTCTACCCCTCCACCAGGTATGGACAAAGGATTTCCAAAACACTTGTTAGATAAATTATGTCCCAGGAGAGTCTCGAACAGCCTCCTGGTAGAACTGCATAAGCAAGGGGATTTAACATTCTCCTTTACATGGCCCCAGTGATATTAGACATGCATAGAAACTGAGGTTGGTCTAAATGTTGAAGTGCAGTGATTGTTCTGATTTGGCAATTATTAATGTCCTTATGCTTGCTGGAACTGGAGTATTTCTTTATAAGGAAATTTCTCAGCAATGAGTGTCCCCAGCAATGGCCAAAAAGAAAGAAAACAATAACGACCTGAGTTTTCTGAGGCAGCAGATAGCAGTATGTCCTCATGTGCAGGCCAAGGTGGTTTTACCCTGTGCAAACACTCCTGGCTGGCTGGGACTCAGGTGGCCCCTGCCTGAGGGATCCTGACAAAGAGAAGGAATGCCACAGCAGTGGTGGGTTCCTGACATTGACCTTGGATAGTCCCTGTGACCATATGCCCACCTGGCTGATATCCTTTAATAAACCACTGCCATTGTGCTTCTACAGTCTTCTGATGAAAACATGCCCATTGTTGGTTACAAGGCTGACCTCTGGTGTTGCTGCCCCTATTTTATTCCCTTGCAGTTTCTCTGTGTAATATCCTTAGCCAAACCTGCTCCCCCAGACACCAGATGACTAAAACATCTGTTCAATAAACTCCTGATTTGTTTTTCATCTCTCAAGTAAGTTGTTCAAACACCTTCAGCCTTCTCTTCTCCAGACTAAATATTTCTGTAACTTTTCAACCCTTTGATCATTTTTATTCTGTTTTTTTGAATCCTCTCCAATTTTCCATATTATTCTTACACCACAGAATTCAAGTGGTGTGTGAGACTCCACCCATACAAGAGGCATAAAATACCACTGTTTGTGATATATTTGTGATGATAACTGACAAAGTCTAATCTCTTACACTCAGACTTCCCAAAGGAAAGGAAAGGAGACTCTAACACCATCTGCTAATAACCACAGAGTTGGATTGATAAGGAAAATAATCCACCTGAATTTTTAAGATAAAAGATGTCATGTAAAAAATTATTCCAAGCAGATTCACAGCAGAATAACTTTTTCCACCAGTAGTTTATAGAAATTCTAGTTAACAGTCCATCATGCCAAATAAAAAAGGCCAGGGCCTTTGTTCAACATTTTTTTATATGAAATAATTTCTATACTGTTACCATATGTTATATGTTCTTTATCATCTTAAAACGTGAACGCAAGTGTGTTATGTACATCAAATATAAGTCTTCTGTGTTTTGTATAGCACGTTGATTTATTGTAATGTCGAATAACTCAATTTTGGGGGAGAGCCAGTATAGTGTGGTGGTGAAGGGTGCCAAGCCAGGAGCCTGGCTTCAAATCCCAGCTCTGCTTTCCACTAGTGTAGACCCACAGGTAGGTCTACTTAACTCCTTACTTCCTCATCTGTGAACTGGAAATGACGGTAATAGCAATAACTGCCTCTAGGGGTCTTCTAAGCATTAAATAAGTTAATATCATTGTAAAAACACACCTTGACCAGGTCCTGACTGCAGTGAGTTCTGGCCCCTGTCATTTTTGTAATTATACTCAGAACATTAGCAAGGAGGCTGAAACAGTTCTCAAAATCAAGCCTCTTTGTGCCAGTACACTCATGAGACAGTTTGTTCCTAAAGTAGTAATTAGAAATAAAGATTCGGAACAGTGCGATCACGCCGTTTGAGGAAGGACCGGGCACGCAAGTTCTGGCCTGGCTCCGCCCGCTCCTGATTCTCTGGGGAGCTGAGCTACTCCCACCCTGGAGTTCCCAGGCCTGCTAAGCTAGAGGGGAGGGAACAGTCATTCTTCCTCCTCCCTTCTTCCTCCAGGATTCACCTTTGGTCTGTTCATGGCTGCTGTTTATCTTGCAGTCCTGAACTCCAAAGAGGGCCTTTGATGTCACATGGGCGCTCCCTGAGGGAAGCAGGCTGGGCAGAAGCAGTCAACACTCTCAGCTTGTACATTAATGACACAGTTAATACTCTCCCACTTGCACAATTAAAGGCACTCCCAGTTTTAAAACACAGGCTCACTTGATTTATTTTCATTTTCCCACTTTAGATAGTGACCCACATACAGAGAGCTGTTTTTCCCCCCATAGAAAATCAACATATAGGCATGATAATGACATGCCCTAAAATGTTAGGAACGACAGGGAGTGGTGGGATCCTGCTGAACTGACCAGCACACCTCCCATCTGAAGAGCTGAGTTGGACCTCAGCTCTGTGCAGGATGCTATGAGGGAACACGGGCCCAGAGCTTGGACTTAATGAAGAATTTCCTGATTGTTAAATGTTGGCATGATTGATATATGTAGACATATGTAGACTAATCAAACCATTCAGAAAGGCCTACAGCAGGTGAACGTGCTGCATGCTCAGCCCACAGCTTCCCGAGGTGCTGTTAACATTGTAAATTGGACACAAAGCCAGGTGTGACCCCAGAGCTGTGCAACACTGTGGCATGGGTCCAACCCACAGTAAGCAAGGAGGCTCTGTATTTCAGAGCAGAGATTCCCTGTGACACTGCCTTTCAGACCCTAGTGTGCACATAACCCCTAAGATGCTGATTTACAATGCAGTGTCCTGAAGCTCATCACATGAAGTTCTGAGGGGAGGCCCAGGAATATGCATTTTTTTAAAAAAACAGACATTTGTCATAGGCTTTATTTTTTAGGAAAGCTTTAGATATAAAGAAAAACTGAGAAGATAGTAAAAAGAGTTCCCATAAACCCTGCACTTGGTTTCCCTGTTACTATCACCTTACATTATTACAGTGTATTTGCTGCAGTTAGTAAACCAGTATTGATACATTATGATAAACTAAAATCCATACTTTATTCAGATTTTTTTTTGTTTTATCTTCTGTCCTTTTTCTGTTCCAGGATCCCATCTGCTCGAGGATGCCACATGACATGTAGTTGTCCTATCTCTTTAGGCTCTTCCTGGCTATGACAGTTTTATGACTTCCCTTGTTTTTGATGACCTTGACAGTTTTGAGAAGCAATGGTCAGGTAGTTCATAGGTGTCCCTTTGCTGGAATTTGTCTGATGTTCTTCTCATGATGGGACTGAGGTTACGATTTTGGGGAGGAAGACCATGGAAGTAGAATGCTGTTTTCATCACATCACACCAAGTGTACACCCTGTCAGCCAGACTCATCAGTGTTTATGTTGACCTTGATCACCTTTAGTCAGGTTTCTCTACTGTAAAATCACCACTCTGCCCACCTTCCTCTTTTAAAGGAAGTCGCTGTGTACAGCCCACACTTGATGGGGGAGCTATGCTCCACCTCTTTGAAAACAGTGTCTGAGTAAATTATTTGGAACTCTACTGCATGGGAGACTTGTCTCTTCTCCCTCATTTATTTATTCAACCATTTATTTATACCAGAGTATGGACTCATGGACATTTACTTTATACTTTGGTTTATAATCCAATATTACTTTGTTTTGCTGCTCAGCTTGTCCTAACTTTGACCACTGGGAGCTCTTTGGGTTGGCCCCATGTCCCTTTGACCAACTCTATCAATGTGGGTTTTCGGTCAGCATTTTTAACAAGCTCCCCAAGCAATTCTGGTGCAGGTGATCTGAGGGCCACATGGTGAGAGATGCGGCCCTAGGGTGTGCACTGAGCTCTGCTAACTATGCAATCCTATCCATTCACTGATTGCTTCAGGAAGAAGGTAAAGAGTGACTCCTGTATCCATCTTATCCATGCAGCGAACACTGAGTGTCATCTCCCTGCCTCCTCCTACATGCTGGGAAGGCAGAGCTTGCCCAGAAATTCAGACTTGGAAGTGGACATGTTATGGGGGAAAAAAGAAGTACCTATGATTATTTTACCTGGCCTCAGCTCCCTGGAGACTATACAAATGAGCATGTTAAGAACTAGGAGAAGATATAAAGGACAGAGCAGGATCCCAGGGGACATGGGAGAGGGCTGGGCTCAAAAGCAACTATGGAAAATTTGGAATTAAATAGGAAGAAGAAAGAAGAAAGAGACAGAAGAAAACAAATTGGCTGTGGACATTTTTATGGATTGCATGGTGGCGTCATTGGAGGTGGGATGGGACATGTTTGAGGTCACCTAGAACGGCTTTAATTTTCTGGGTGAAGCAGGAGGCCAGATCATCCTTACCAGAGGGAGGGGTGTGCGGTAAAACACGGGGCCTGGGAAGCATTAAAATTTCAACTTAACAGTTGGGGGCTGCATCAGTTAGAATCCAGTCGAGATAAAAACCACCTCAATAATTTGAAAAGAGCACAAAACACAGAGCTTTTAACTACATTAAAGTTGAAAGAGAGCTCCTGAGATACTACAGAGCAGACAGCTCCCACTCTCAGGCTGGGCAAACAAAGGGAAGTGGTCAGAATTATTAAAACCTAACAACTTAGAGGAGTGGTCCTCCGGGACTGGGTCCCAGAACTCCGAGGAGGGTGTGCTGGCAGGCTGGTGACAACTGCGGAGCAATGAAGCTGTCTGTGCAAGCGTAGAAACAACAGGAAAGTGGGTTCAGTGGCTGCTACAGGAAGGCAGTGCCCTCCGGGGTGCAGAGGCTTTGTTGGGTGTTGCTGAGAGGAACCACAAGCGGAAAGGAGCTGGCAAATCCCTCCTCCTTCCTCCAGGCTTGCAACCTTCCTGTAGCACCCCTAACTGGTAGGGCCAGTATGGGGTTTGCAGGGTCTTAGCTTAGCATCCCAAAGCCAAGTTGGGAAGCATGGATTTGGAACTGAGAGGCAATGACTGTCATGGGGAAGCCACCCCTCAACTGCATGAGGGATCGTCTACACAGGTGAGTCTGAATACAGGCTGAATTTCTGTCCTCCCTTGTCTGCAAATAATTTCTTGTTCTCCTAGGTCTTTGCTGTGTTGGAGGTTTGTTCTTGTTTCAGGGGTCAGGCCCTGGTTCCCCCGGATGCCTAACCTCTCCCAGAAAATTCATTATGGACCATCTGATTCAGAAGGAATTAAACAAGGATTGCAGATGTTCATCAGCAGAGGAGTAGATAAACAGAATGTGTGTATATACGGTGGCCTGTTAGTCGGTTAGGAAGGAAATGCTGACACATGCTACAATATGGATGACTCTTGAGGACATTATACAAGCCAGTCGCAAAAAGACAAGTACTTTATGATTCCACTTATATGAGGCAGCTTGAGGAGTCAAATTCCGAGACAGATAGTAGAAGGGAGGTTTCCAGGGACTGGGGTGAGGAGGTGGGGATGGGGAGTTATCGTTTGACGGGTAGAGTTTCAGTTTTGCATTCTGAGAAAGTTCTGGAGGGGGTGGCAATGGCTGCACAGCAATGTGAGTGCAATGAATGCCCCTGAACTGTACACTTAGAAACGGGTAAGGGGGTGAATTTTGTATTAAGTGTATTTTACCACAATTAAATGTTTTTAAAAAGGAACTAAACCGAGGTTGCAGCTGGAGGGGGTAGGGGGCAGCTCCTGGCCTCTGTGTCACAAGTCTTTGTCTCCCCATGGTGACCCATTCCCCAGTTCACCTTCGTGAGCAGCGTCTTTCAGCCTTTGCAAGTTCAATGTGCTTGTGTTCATTTGCTCTGCTGCACACCCGCCCCCATATGCACGTGTGCAGGGGCAGCCTTCCCCCCTAGTTTTCCTGTGGATAGTACATTATTTCAGTGGATGACAATGACTTACAGTGTGCCAGGCACGTGTCTTGTCCACGGCAAACCTCCACTTCAGACATTGTTCTCATCTCCACTGTATAGAAAGGGAAACTAAAGCTCAGAGAGGTTGTGACTAGCTTTAGGTCACCTATCTGCCAAGTGAGAAGCCAGGACAGGTCCCAGCTCCTGACCCCGGGCCTGAGCCCTTAACCACTGTACTCTACCGCCTCCTAGTGGATCCCTTGGTCTTGCGTTTTCTCACCCACACCTTGTACTGAGGTAGGAGCCCCAGTGTGTCTCCCACTCAGCAAAACGTCATTTCACAGTGGTTGTTTGATGCTTCCGGTGCAGCCTGGAGTTCGGCGGCACTCCCACTCCGTTCGGCCCTGGCTCTGCCCTGGCTGCGTGGCGTGGCTGTGGCTGAGTTTTGCTGCACGCCTAGCAAGACTCCTCAGAGTCTCACCTCTCAGGAGCAAGCATCCCTCGGTGGCTTCTGAGGCTTGGCGCAGGATTGTCATGTGTTGGTTACATGACTTCCTGCAGGAGCACCTCTGATAGATTTAAGAATTTTCCTAAGCCTTTCTGGTTGTACTGATCCTTGGAGCTGTAAAGAAACTCCTGGATTTCTATATGAAATGTTTTTCAGAGTAAACAATGCCCCAAGTTTCTCTCCCAATCTGAGTGGTCAGTGTGGGGTTCTGAGTACTGTCCCTTGAGAAGTGTTGTTTCCATACCCAACAGGTCATTGTGGATGCCTTCAAGATTTGTGGCAGCGAAGCCCAGGTACACTGGGGGGCCCAGATATCTTTTATTGTTTGGTCTGGATTCAATTGAGGTTCACACTTGCATTCGGTTGTTATATTTATTTAGTTTCTTTTAATTTAGAAAAATCCTCCCTCTCACTTTACTGTTTATTTTTTTGTCAAATGGAACTTTTTGAAGAGCCTCAGTGAGTTGTTTTAGATTGCCTCCCGTGTGGAATTTATCTAATAGTTTCTTCATGATTGGATTCAGGTGGACTATTTTTGGCAAGATTACTCTGTAGATGATATTTTGTACTCCTTACTGCCTCATACCAGGAGCCACAAAAACCTCATCTGGGAATTGCACACTCAACAAATATATATTGACAGTGTGTCATTGTGCTGAGCGTTCTGCTATGCAACTAGGACACCTGGGAGCCATTGATAGGCTTCTGAAGTGAAGAGGTAAGGAAAACAGAAGGGCAGATTTATCGATTGGAAATAGGTTTGGCTACCCATACAGAAAACTTGACTCACAGTAGCTGAAGCAATTAGAGGTCTGTTTTTTCCTCCCACACAGCTGCAAGTCCAGAGCTGATAGGACAGCTCTCCCATATTCAGGGTCTCTTGTGTGCCCTCTTTCTCTTTTTATCTGCCATTGTTAGGGTGTGGCTTTAATTCCTTTGCATGCCTGATGGCTCCTGCCCCCAGACACTGACCTCCCTGTTGGCAGGAAGGAGAAAAGGGCACGCCCACTAACTCAGCTCCCCTTTGAGGAGCTTTTCCAGGAGCAGCAGCTGATGATTCTGCTCACATCTCACCGGCGAGGACTGTGCCACAAGGTCAACCCAGTATGCAAGGTTGTCTAAGAATATTGTTACCCTTAGGTTTTGTTAGTAAGAAAGAGGGGAGAATGGATATTAGACAGGAAATTGGCAGGCTTTACCATGGAAGATAAGGAAGATCTTTAATGGCTGAAGAGACAGCTACACAGATTATACATGAGAATTTAAAAGTCACCACCAACCTGGGAAAAAAATGATTGTTCTGTAGCCATGGTAACAAGTAGCCACAGGAACCAATTTTATATTGTTCCATCCATTAATGATAACTTGACTCAGTAAACATGCTTTTACAAGCTAACCAACCAGGTCAATCCCTAGCTTATGAAAATCAGCCGATCAGAGATTGACTCACTATAATAAACATACCCCTGACAGCCAACAAATGGACAAGAGCTCAGCCAGCAGCCATAGTTCCCCAAATGACATTGACCCACTTGTGCCTCTGGACAGCAAAGGTGTCCAGTCCAGGTTTTCTGCTAGGAATTCTGCTCCCACGTCCCTCCCTGCCTTGCCAACATCATTACTACTCTCACCCCTTTGCATGGTTATCTAGTCTCTATTTCAAAAAAGTCATGACTAGGGGACATTCTGAAGGAACATGGCCAGATACACTTTGGCGACAGGAATTGATCCTGTCCCTTAGTGGAGGCAGCTGGGACCAAACTCATGTCACATTTTTCTTCCTCCTCTTTGGCTCAGCAGCAGAAGACTGCTACAGTTTCTGACCTATGACATGAAACTAATAGAAGAAAAAAACCCAGCCCACATGTCCCTGTGCTTCAACCCCCCACTGACACAACAAGAATAGAAACTGAAATGTTTAGAACAAAAATTTCACATGGACTGACCTTGTTTCATTTTAGGACACTGGAACAGATTCTAGTCAGATGAATTTGAAGCAGCGGAGGTAAAAGATCCAGTTGCAAGAATTATAATAAGATGATCCTTATAAAAACCATAAAACCAGTACAGAGCTCCAAAACTGCCTTGAAGAACATAGAATGGTTTGCTTCAGGTTGTGGTTCTTGACATAATCAAAGGAGATACTTAGTTCCAAAGTACATTTAAGTAAGTGGATCTGATATTAAAAATAAAAGATTCAGGCAGGCAGTGTATAAGTGCAAACCCCTAAAGTTGTTGGGAGGAACCTCTTGCTCTACTGGCCTGTACAGGGCATTCCTTTCCTGAACATCCTCTCTCTAGTCTTTGTTACCTGTAACTGTTGCTTTCAGCAGCATTTCTCACTGTTTCTTTTCAATACATTTCATGGGCCTTCCTTTTCCTGCCACAGTTTTTCCTAGTTCAGACCTTATTTGTTTCTATCAACTTTCAGATTCAATATTCTCTCCTGTTCGGACTTCACATCCCCTGAGTAAGGAAGCCCCAGTGCTTCCAAGAATTAGAAGTTCTAGAATTAGAATCCGGTGCACCATGGTGGCTGACCTAAAGGTTTAATTCTGCTTTTTGAGTGGCCCTAATCCTTGATGGGGGTGACTCACATTGTCAAGTGACTTTATACAGCTTCTGGCACATAGTACATGCTCAGTAAAGTTAGATACCATTACTGCTGAGCCAGGCTAGACCTAGCAAGACTTAACCTATTTTTGGCAAGATTACTCTGTAGATGATATTTTGTACTCCTTACTGCCTCATACCAGGAGCCACAAAAACCTCATCTGGGAATTGCACACTCAACAAATATATATTGACAGTGTGTCATTGTGCTGAGCGTTCTGCTATGCAACTAGGACACCTGGGAGCCATTGATAGGCTTCTGAAGTGAAGAGGTAAGGAAAACAGAAGGGCAGATTTATCGATTGGAAATAGGTTTGGCTACCCATACAGAAAACTTGACTCACAGTAGCTGAAGCAATTAGAGGTCTGTTTTTTCCTCCCACACAGCTGCAAGTCCAGAGCTGATAGGACAGCTCTCCCATATTCAGGGTCTCTTGTGTGCCCTCTTTCTCTTTTTATCTGCCATTGTTAGGGTGTGGCTTTAATTCCTTTGCATGCCTGATGGCTCCTGCCCCCAGACACTGACCTCCCTGTTGGCAGGAAGGAGAAAAGGGCACGCCCACTAACTCAGCTCCCCTTTGAGGAGCTTTTCCAGGAGCAGCAGCTGATGATTCTGCTCACATCTCACCGGCGAGGACTGTGCCACAAGGTCAACCCAGTATGCAAGGTTGTCTAAGAATATTGTTACCCTTAGGTTTTGTTAGTAAGAAAGAGGGGAGAATGGATATTAGACAGGAAATTGGCAGGCTTTACCATGGAAGATAAGGAAGATCTTTAATGGCTGAAGAGACAGCTACACAGATTATACATGAGAATTTAAAAGTCACCACCAACCTGGGAAAAAAATGATTGTTCTGTAGCCATGGTAACAAGTAGCCACAGGAACCAATTTTATATTGTTCCATCCATTAATGATAACTTGACTCAGTAAACATGCTTTTACAAGCTAACCAACCAGGTCAATCCCTAGCTTATGAAAATCAGCCGATCAGAGATTGACTCACTATAATAAACATACCCCTGACAGCCAACAAATGGACAAGAGCTCAGCCAGCA